TTTCCTTTACTCAGTTGTAAGTTCCTCGTTCAACTTTTCTTATCAGAAATAAAGTATCAAACATTTTCCCCAATTGTTTCTTCTTTTCGTTGTGTTGTTTTGGGTATATAGATCAAGATATCAGTCTCTACATAACATGCGGATAAAGCGGAGAATGTCATGGCTTGTAGGTGGTTCTTGGTAGTGAGCAAGCTGGAGCTCCTGTCTTGTAGGAATAAATAGTAGTTTGGAGATCTTGGCCCTTGATATTTTAATGGTGCAAACCATGTCATTCGGGGCATCAATGTCACCCATAATGCCACGGTTTTCTGGGTAAAAATCACAGGCATTCCAATACTGTTGAACATAACGTACGGAACCTCATTGTCAGATAGAGTCAGGGATGTTTGTAGTATGCAGTTTTGGAAAAATTCAACTAGTATGGAGAATCTGTCTTCAAACAGTTGGGGACGGAGATCGATGTGGTGGTTGTTGGGTTTGATGGGGAGGAAGACAAGGGCACGACTGTCAACACCGATGGACTAAACTTGGCTCTCATTGTGGTTGGAATCATGAGAAGCTGAGAAGGAAGCCATTTGAACAAACAATGAAAGCTTAGTTGCAGGTTTGGTTGTTGTTTGTTGTAAGGAAGAAGATGAGAACATAAAAGGTAAAATTGGTATAAGGGGGTATATATAGGGTGGGAGGGAAGAGGTTTGAAAGAAGGATAAAATAATAAAAAGAAATGATATATGGCATCTGACATTTTGTAAAAAGGTGAAAGGTTATGATCTTGAGTCGTAATAACAACTTACGATTACGATGAGTGTCAGACATATAGGGACACGTGGCGCAAGGGGTTGATTGGTATGGTAATATGGAGAGTTTGTATTGGGAAGGGTCAAGGTCACAGACTGATGACCTTGATGGGTGACCTTTGGTATGGTAATTATCCACAAGGATAATTATTAAGATATCCAAAAAAATTGAAAATCCCAATTAATTGAGAGATATATGCTAATTATGAAGTTTTGGTTTTCTAAAAAACCATGTTGTATAGTTTTTAGTCACAAAAGCTGCAATGTTGCATAATCTTGAAATAGTTTGCAATTAATGTGGGTTTTGATGAAGACTTTGTTCATGACCATTGAAGCAGAGAGAGGGGGGGGGGGATCTGGTTGGCTTGGATGAAGAACCAGAGGCTCTCTGGTTGATCATAAACTTTGAGTATGCCTTCAAATATGGGGTTTTGATAAAACAGAGGCTCTGGATGAACATGCGAACCCTTAGAAATAAAACCCTTGAACCATGAAGAAGAACCAGAGGGGATCTGGTTGGTCTTGTAGTTCAACCAGAGGCTCTCTGGTTGGTCATGAGAGTCAAAAAGTTTCAAAGTACAAGAATTTCGTGTCCCAGAGGCTCTAGATAGACGAACCAGAGGCTCTAGTTGGTCTAAATGCTACTTGGGATTTCAAGTAGGTGGACAGAGAGGCTCTGGTTGTGAATGAAGTTCAACCACTCTGGTTATACTATGACCAACAAAAGACTAAGTAAAGAGCATATGCTCCCCCTAGAACTATCCTCTGGTGGTAGGTTGGGTAAGCAAAACTCCCCTTTGAACCAAGAATATGGTTATGATTGGGAAGCCAGAGGCTCTGGTTGTGAAGGAGGGTTTAAATGGATAAAGACTTTGTGATGTTAGGTTGTCCCATAGAACTAGAAGGGGCTTTGGTCCTAAGGACTTGGTGTCCAGAGACAGTGATCTTAAGAACCTGGTTGTGCTTGGAGCATTAGACTTGGTCTAAAAAAACACTCTAATGGAACCGGGCTCTTGTCTTAAAGAGTTAGCAAGACAGAGGCTCTGGTCTTTAGAACCAAAGGCTCGGGTTACTTGAATTACACATTTAGTGTGAACAAGAGTTCTTAGATCAACCAGAGGGTCTCTGGTTGCAAAGAGGTAGTTTCTTTGATAGCATCCAAGATTTGAAAGGAGCTCTTAGTGCAACCGAACTCTGGTTGCAAAGGGTTATGAACCAGAGGTCCTGGTTAATTGATAGTGCATGTGGTGGTCTTGTATGAACTCTTAGTACAACTAGAGAGGCTCTGGTTGTAAAGAGTTGGAACAGAGTCTCTGGTTACCAGAGGCTCCGGTTGCTTTTAGAGATTGAAGACTTGTGATGGAGCAAAGTCTATTGGACTAGAGGGCCTTTGGTTCCAAAGACTTGTGATCCCATAAGCTCTGGTCTATGGAACTAGAGACTCTGGTTTCAACGAAGGATAAAAACATCAAGTATAAACATAGCTAGTAGAGGATATGGGGAACAAGTAGGACCAGAGGGGCTCTTTAGAACCAGAGGCTCTGGTTGTACTAGAGGCTTATTTTGGACTCGAGTGAAAAGAGTTGTTTGGACGAGAGGGGGTCTAGTTCCAAAGAGTTTGAGAAATAGAGGCTTTGCGTGTAAGGAGTGTATGGCTAAGTGAAATACAAGTGTTTCCAACATCCAGAGGCTCTGTTAAAGAAAACTTGGTTTCTTGGCCAGATTTTGCCACTTTTGCATTTACCAGAGACATAAAGGATCTGTGGTTGATTAAGAGAATACCTTAAGTGGTGAAATTCAGCATACCCATCTTGCTGACAGGAAATATAAATCTTTTCTCATCTAAGGCTTTTGTGAAAAGGTCAGCAAGTTGGATATCTGTAGGAACAAAATACATCTCTATAGTTCCCTTTTCTACATGGTCATTGAGAAAATCTTACCTGGCATCAATATGCTTTGTCTTGGAGTGCTGCACTGGATTTACAAAAATAGCTATTGCACTTTTGGAATCACATAAGATGGGAATCTTTTTATAATGAAATCCATAATTTTCTAGTTGGGTTTTCATCCAGAGCACTTGTGAACAACAACTAGCAGCAACAACATATTCTGCTTCTGCTATAGATGTTGAGACACAATTTTGTTTTCTGGATGTCCAACTTACTAATTTATCTCCCAGAAGTCGACAGCTCCCAGACGTACTTTTTCTATCAAGTTTGCACCCTGCATGATTTGCATCTGTATAGGCTATTAGATCAAAGCCATAGTTCTTTGGATACTAGAGGCCCAAGGAAGGAGTCCCTTTTAGGTATCTAAAGATCATCTTGTCAGCAGAAAGATGAAATTCTTTCGGATTTGCTTGATATCTTGCACAAAGACAATTAGCAAACATTATATCTGGCCTACTGTTAGGTACAGGAGTGATCCAATCATGCCTCTGTAGGTTTTTACATCTACAGTCTTGCCTGACAGATCAGAGGATAACTTAGCTCGTGTGGCCATAGGTGTTCTCATAGATGATGAATTTGAGAGATTATATTTCTTCAGAAGATCAGTCATATATTTGGACTGATTGATAAAAATCCCTTCTGAAGTTTGTTTTATTTGAAGACCCAGGAAGAAACTAAGTTCTCCCATCATACCCATCTCAAATTTACTTTTCTTCACGTCTGAGAAATTTTCACAAAATTTGGAGTTAGTTGAGCCAAATATTATGTCGTCCACATATATTTGGACAAGTAAAATATCACCTTTGTGATTTTTGAGGAAGATAGTTGTGTCAATTGTATCCTTTTCGAATCCATTGGCCGTGAGAAAAGTGAAGAGTGTATCATACTAGGTACTGTGTCTGGGTGCTTGTTTGAGCCCATATAGAGCTTTATCTAGAAAGTAGACGTACTCTGGATGTTTGGAGTTCTCAAACCCAGGTGGTTGCTGAACGTAGACTTCTTGCGGTTTGCCATTAGAAAGGCAGACTTGACATCCATTTGATAAACCTTGAATCACTTGTGTGTTGCATAGGCTAAAAAATTTCTTATGGCTTCAAGCCTAACAATGGGAGCAAAGGTTTCGTCATAGTCTATCTCTTCTTCCTGGCAGTAGCCCTTGGCAACCAGCCTAGCTTTGTTCCTTATCACCATTCCGTCCTCGTCTTTCTTGGTTCTGAATACCCATTTGGTCCCGATGGCAGTTTTTCCTTGGTGGAGTGGCATAAGGGACCAAACTTTGTTCCTCTCAAACTGGAGCAACTCTTCATGCATAACATCTATCCAGTTTGGGTCTTGTAGGGCTTCAGAGGCTTCCTTTGGTTCCACCATGCTTAGGAAGTTTTCAAAGAGACATTCACACCAAATGAGATGATGGATCACCAATTATTTGGTGATGGAGATGGTCTTTTGTCCATTTGGTGCTAGATTGGGGTTTTTGAGCAACATGATGCAGTTCTTCATTTGTAGGAATGGTAGATGGAACCGCTTGCCCCCCCCTCCCTCCCTCCCTCCAATAGATCTTCTCCAAGTCTTCAAATAAATGAGTGAGTTCTAATTCCGTTGGCTTGTGGTGTGATAATCAAAAGTCTTGTGAGTTTGCCCAAGTTCTGAACTGTGATGTCCAGTCATAGGTGATGTATCATCAAAGGATACATTGTCTAAGGTAGTGAAATTCTTTTTTTGAGGCCTTTAGGTACATCCGTTTTAATTTGATGCGTGCTCTACTATGTTAATAAAAAGTAGTTGTACCCTCTTGATAGTGTCATTGCATGTGGAATTAAACGTTGTAAGTTCATATCTTCTTTGACTCTCTTTTAATTTTTTGGTGACAAAAAAAACCCTACTTGGGTTGCAAAAGAATCCTCTCTCGTATGCCACTTTAATTAAACCGTGCTTTTTGTAATTTATTTTTTGTTTATTTTATATCATGGTATTATTTTGTGACCCGCTTGGAAACTTTTCTCGATCTGTGTATGCACAAAATCCTAGCTGATGGCATGAAACTTTCACAGTTCCATATACATTAAGAGAGCTTGTCTCAAAAACCATTAAAGATGACTTCAAGATAAAAGAAAGATAAGACACGAGTTGTTATTATTCGTTACAATCGGGCTGTTTACACTAACCTTCAAGCCAGAAGACCAAAAACCGCATGTACATCAAAAGAGTCAAAAAGGAGAACTCACAATGCTCAAATCATAAAGACAGCAAAGACAAAGAATTAATAATGAGCGAGTTGCTTTAGAGAAGTAACCGAAAAAACTGCAACCTTGATTCAATCACAAGAACCATCAACATGCCGCCTTTTGAGCTCAACTAGTTTCTACGAAAGTAACGGGTTATGCAATAGATTATAGCATCTTCATTTCTTCAAAAACCTTTTCCACAGGGAAGTGGGTTCATTCATGGGTTGCATAGGACCTTCCGTAGCTCAGCAGGCTGCATGTAACATATTAACAACCAGCTGCTTTCAAGAAGTTATCATATGGACTTGCTGCCGGTAACCTGAATGACTCTGTTGCATTAGCATTACTTGCAGCAGGAGCCTGCATTTTGTTCAGGAGAAGTTTTTAATATGTATGTGTGCATTTGTATGTATATATATATTGTTTTGCACAAAATTCATATTTCAATGAGTACCGATTGGACTTCAGGTGCTGATTGCTTGTTTGTGTCACCACTGTTTTGCATCAGACTGGACATCTTTGTTTGCTTTCCTATTCCGAGCTCCTCAAAGTGATTGGTCATTTCCAAGAAAGAGATATTTGGTGCATTGCATACTGACATTCTACCAACTTGTGCCGAGTCCATGACCTGCACATGATAAGGTAATCAACGTTGTAAATATAAACAGTCCTTGGATCTTTGAGAATCTTTTCATGCCATTATTATCGACACTTTTTTCTGTTTTGATTCTAATAAACCAATAATCACAATAACAATCAATATCCACATAGATATAGAACATGATCATCCTTACAAACAATGATAATTAGATTGGAATTCCCAAAAGACTTACTGATTCTAACAATTGATCAACACTCAAGAGATCGGACGCCCCGTATGCCATTTCTGATGGTTTGGTGATATCATCATCAAGCGAAAAGAGTGAAGCAACCTAGAGAAATCAACACATGATCATAAGTGAAAAACCAAGTAAAATTATAATTGAAAACAGAAATACTCAGCTCTCAAGAGCATTTACCTCATCCTTCGAGTGACCCTGTTCTGACCTGTACTCTGTAGGGCATACATCATCAGGCACAAATTTGTGCGTCAACTCTTCCTTAATGCTGCTCACTTCAGACTGCACATATACAGGCATTTGAGAGCACTTCAAATCTATAACTTGATCCATAGAGTCATGATGTTTTTTTAAAGCTACAAGAAAATTATATGACAGGTTTACCCCTATGATGGTTTCCAAGTGTTTCACAACAGCAGCAACTAATGATTCTGTTGACTGGTCTTTTGCAAGCTTTACTTCTGAAAGGGATTTCTGGGCAGCCCTGTTATCCTCCTTAGAATCAAAGCCATTGTTGATTTGATCTGATCTAGAAGCAACGGTCAACTTGCAATCATCAACCAAACACAAGTATGGATCAACCTGGCACCATAACAAATCAAAAGCCGTATTATGTTGTGAAGTTAGATTATTAGGGAAATAATGATGTTTTCATTAAATGGAAGGGGAAACAATTTAAAAAGAACTTTAAAGGCTAATGGGGCAAAGTAGAACTTAGAAAAAACAAGTAACATACCATCTTATTAGCAAGTGCAGACTTAGCAAGTGGAACAATAGGGACAAGACCAAATGCTTTCCCGGATATTATTATCATAGAGGTCGCCAATGTATAAAGAGATCTGCGATGTGATGGTGAAAGTGATCCTGCAATAACCATGATAATCGATCTACAATATGTTTCTATAGCTTAAATGTCAAAGGAACCTTAAAAATCAGCAAATGACTGTTAAATTCTACTAGACAAAATAATGGATAACCCCAAAAGCATTACTAAGAAAGCTCTTAACTTGGCAAATATGTGTTTAATCTAGTTCTCTAGAACTACATTCTGGGTTTTATAGCAGCTAAATTTAATTGGCAATAGATAAATTAATAATTCACCTTAAGTTTGAATCATTTTGTTGGTCTTTGAATGATCAGGCCAAACATAACTCTTACGAGTCCAGTTTTGCACACCAAACCAGAGTACCTTTTAGGTTACTTACATTATTTTATTTTATTTTTAATCATGGTATAGTACTAGTCCACGTACATGATACTCGTAAAAAACGATTATGAGTCGTGGAATGTTGAATAAAAAGACAACGATGATATGACTCATGAGCTTTGTACTATAAGACATATCTATATAAGTATGTAGTCTGCAGGCCTACCTCCTTCAGTAAGAGAAATATTTATCAAAGAAAATGCCAGCTGGAAACTTCGAATTAGAGCCTCACGGCTGGAGTTCTGCACAAATTAAAAGAAAATAATAAAAATTACAAAAAGGGTCACAGAGCATAAGAAGGTATATCTTTCAAAGATATGGTTACTATAAGGGTGTGATTGATAATTGTATATTAATCTTGGTGAGAGGAAAGCCATTCATATTTTCTACTCATTTCTTCTGTACAACTTAAAGAGGTTATATTCTGAACCAAGTGAATTGGATTTTACTATGAAGGGAGAACAGGGATGGAAATTACCTTCCCACGAGAGAATAACAACACCAGGCTGTAGGTGTGAGCAATTGCTTCATAATTTTCAGGTGTGTTATCAGGGAAGATGGACTCCGCCCAAATCGAAGATAGGAGGAGAGATATTTGATGACTGCTTAGCCTTAGTGTAATCGCCTCCTGCGGTTTAAATGGGAAGTAAATTAAAAAAAAAGGATAGAAGAGAGACAATATGTCATATAATAAAGATGGCATAGTAGGTGGAAGAACCTACATTATCGTTCTTTTGAACTGCTACTTGAGGAGGCACTGGATTTTTCATGCTATACTTTCGGCTGTGAATTGACTTGACTTTGCTCATCATCCCACCATTATTTGTTTTTTGTTCCCCTTCATTAGACACTTTTTCTCTACCCAAAGAAGGCTTGTCTTTTTTCATCTTCTCAAAGAGGGCGGCTGAAGAAGAAAAGACAGAAACAGTCCTCGAGAGTGACCTTGGAACATTTTCAGCCTTTTGGGGATCAGAACCCATGTCTGGACTTGGATGAGGGCAAACAGAAGATGGTACAAGAACCACGGAGAAGATACGGTGAGCTCCAACTCGAGTTTCATGGTCTTGATGAACCATGGCAGGAAGCAACTGATGAAATAATGCTTCAGGAAATGCCTTCTTGTTATATGCCATATTTGGCAATGAGGCTACAATTTGGCCAGTGCGGTAAACAGCAGCAACTGTAGTTTGTGCTATAATTTTAATATTAGAGATGTTTTCCATCATGACAGCCATGATATCAAAAATGGGGCTAGCATCACCAACCTGATTTATTAAGAAAGTCATTTTAGCCCAAAATTTAATAACTACAAAATCAATGAAAATGATACTATTTCATGATAAGAAAGAAGTAAGGATACCTTGGACGATAACTCCACAAGGCATTCATCTACAGCTTCTTGGAACTTTCTATTCCACTTGATCACATCAGATCCAAGGTTTGCATCAGTTAGTGAATGATGTATGCTTCTTCTCAAATGTCTAATAATATCATTTATAGCACTGACTATTGCAACAGAGGCTTTTATCTTTGTTTCTCTTGCGAGTGAGGTGGCAATCTCTAGAATGTCAAGCTGCATGTTGGGTCGTTTAAGGACATTTTTGTGATCAAGATGCTTGACTAATACAGAAAGCAGAAAATGTGTAATTTCTCCTGCAAAATATGGAAGAACATCATTCAGTCGTTAAGTTAGGACTTAATTGCTAGTACAAATAAAGAAAAAAAAACTAAATGGACTCCGAGAATTATCAGTACCAGATTCATCTATTATGGTCTGCATGTCCTTGAGCACTGGGAATGCAACACCGCGTGAAATAGGCCATAGATTCTCATTATCAAAATAACGAAACAAAGATTCCAGAATACGCCGCATGGTTGTAGCTTCTGTGGCCAACTTAGCCATGTTATGTAGGCACACACGGGACCAAAAGCAAGGGCTTTTAGCATCTTCTCTGCATAAAAGAAAATTTGCCAATGATATACAACTGAAATATTGGAATATCTGTTAAATAATTTTCTCTATTGCATTCTCTTGGAAAGTTGACATTAAACTTTTTGGAACAGAGACTTACGCTGACATAGTTACTTCACCCTTCTCATTTACAATTGTTCTCCATGATGGAACCTTTGTCAGGGCACCTGATGGAGTCATATTCCGGTCATTTTTAAGCACTTCCTGTACCCAACGGTTCTGGTTGGGATTGTCATAGTCCTTGCTTGTAGCTCCATAATTTTCCAAAACTACGGAAACAATCTATGTAATGGATATGAAGGTCATTAATATGGTTTTAACTTGTATGTTTTGTACACCAATTAAGATTTAAGAGGCAACTCTCTTACAAAAAGAATTGTAAGAACTATGCAAGAACAAATAGGAAAAAGTAAAGGATGTAAATTAGAATGAGGTCATTCTCGTAATTTTTGCTATTAATCTTATGTGCTTTAGTAATTAAGCCTAGCATTGAATGTTCTTTAGTAAATCAGAATGTACATGTGCTTATGCAGCTTGAATGCTAGCATACATGAGAAAATATATTTTTCATTTTTGTATATTTAATTCACAATCCTTCCCCTTCCAAGGAAAGACCAGCATTCCATTCGGCTAAGGGTCTCATATTACGGAGGCACATGAAAAGAAATGGATCATATATCATCAAGAGCAAGCAGCTTGGATGATATTTACAAATTTCACTTGTCCTCGTTTAAGGCATGGCAGTTTAGAATCTAATGTTTTTTCAAACACACATTTTATACCCACCTAAAAAAATCATACTTAATCCGGAGAACTTAGTAAATCAGAAAAAGAATATGAAATTGAAGACCCTTTTAGAGTTAATCAGGAGCTTCATATATCTAACAATTGCAGTCCCTCTTAGCTTAGTTTGGGAAGTCATCAAGATCATCATTTTAGAAAAAGAAAAAAATGAGGAAAAGAGGATTCAAGATGCCCGTAAGGATCAGGACAGATACAATAGAGCCAAATCGCTATCAAAAAAATGAGGAAGAGAGGATTCTATGGTTTTCCCCCTCAAAGTATCCAAAAAGTAAAGGTATTTGGCAAGGGGCTTATAAACGTATCACAAGTGAAAGGAAAAAAGTGCATACGGTCGAGCAGGAAATAAGTTGTAGATAAAAGCACTTATGCTTACGTTGTCAAACTCTGGTGACATATGAGAATATTTACCCATGAAGAAAACCTACAAAAACAGCACATCAACGAAAGATAGTAAATATATGAAATTATTGATATCTTTATGATTTTAGTTTCTACAATTTTCTATTTGTTAACTTGCTAGATCCATGTCAAGTAAGTCATAATTCATTTTGTGACTAAGTTATATTTTGAGTTTAGAGCCATTATCTAGGGAAGAACAGACATACCATTGAGGAAAGGGCTTGCAACCCAGCCGCTCGAAGTGGCTCCACTCTTGCATCTTCCCCAACTTCTTGAGCTAAGTGACAGAGTTTAGGGATAAATTTTTCCAAGTTAAACATGTAAGTCGCATCTTTCTGCACATCACAAAAACTTGTGAATACAGAAGCTAAAAATAAAGACAATGTAAACAAAGAAACAATCAACAGCCCTGACCTGACAATTTACGAAGTCAAATAGTGTTTGGCATCCTATAATTGGCATTTCATCGTGTCGTGTCTCATCCAAAAGAGTGTGCATGATTGTTAGTAAACTGTTTGCAAAAAGGGGCCTGACAGGAACAGAAACAGTATTACTCTAACACGAAAGTTCCAATAGAGGAGCAAGTATTTATTGATTAACAAGCAATGAGAATGTTAACAGCCCAAATGGACAAATTAAATCAGCATGATGAGAACCATAATCGATGTATACAGAACACAATGAAACGAATTATAGGCCTAAAAAGATAACTTGGAGAAACATAAACCCCTAAAGAGAACTAAAAATCCTCAAAACTTACCCTTAAACTCCAAAGTATACTTGTCACCCCCCCCCCCCTTTCTCCTTGTGTCAGAATGTAAGGAAAAAAATCAGTTTGTTACAAGAAACTTACCCAATTAGACATTATATATTTAAAATTTAGCTTGGTCAACTCTAGCACGTCGTCTCAAAATGTGTAAAAACTAATCTGTGTGCATAAAAGAAAATTCTTCATCTTCACTTGGAAGTGATTACATAGCAAACAAAGAAAACTCCAATCCTAATTGATCTTCTCTCCTTCACAACATATGCAAATTGCCTACAGTGATTACTTGGGCATTTTGTAACCCGTGAAAGATTCTCCAGCCTTCTTCCTAATGTACTGTCCTTCAAGAGCAGGTGCATACTCTTAAGCACCCTGAACTACGGTGAATAGTGCTTGGGTGTATGTCATCACTGAAAGATAAAGACACTTCTATGAAACACATGTGCAAGAATATGTAAACTCTCCTACCAGTCATCTCCATAACAATTCAACAAAGAAAAACACCTTCGGATATTGAAGTCATCGTAAACATATAGCTCTAAACTATAACATTCTACCTTTGACTAGAAGCCAAAAGTAGCTTTATGACTCCATAAACACTGTTCCGAAGGCTAAAAGTTATTTTATGACTTCAGGGACTTTCAGCAAGAGAAAGAACTGAATAAGAATGTACTTTGGAGCAATCTAAATACAAAAAGAGCGACAAAATTTTCCATTAATAGTATTTGCCTTTTTTGTTGCAAACAAACATCGTTCTTCCAGAAATGCAAAAAAAAAAAAAAAAATACAGTTTCGGATCATCGTGGAAACATATAACCAAAACTATCCATCATAGATTATACTTTTTGTTGAATGCACTAATTCTTGAGGACTGTAATATTTTTATGATAATTTAAGCAACAAAAAGGCAAGTACGATGGTTCGAAAAGTTGACCATGCAATATAAAAATCAATCACAAACATTTAAAATATGGAAGCTCAAAAACAGTGGCCGAGTTATCAACTCCTCACTTACCAAAGAAATATAAGACAATGTAGCGATGCAACAAATATTTATGGATGTCACTAATGCATAGTCCTTGAAGGAATTTATGACTCAGTCCAGCTGTCCAGGCACAAGTCAGGGGGTCGTTCATGAGGTATTGCTTGAAAAGAAACTTCTTATAAGAGGGAATTTCAATGGTCTTATGAATAGAATTACTGTAGCATCTGATGCATTTATGGAGGTTTTCCTAATGAGAGACCAAGAATTAATAGAAGAAATCTTGTACAATTCAGTAGCCTTCAGGTGGTGGTAAACACTTCCTACAGAAAATGTTAGTCTCACCACTAGGAGAAATGATCGAATGCTTTGCATAGATTGTGAAATTTTTACCTGCGACTGTGTAGCACAGCCACAAGAGGCATGGTATTGAAGAAAAGGGAGGTCAAACATGTGAAACCCAAATATATAGCATGTAAAACTGTTAGGAGGCATCTGTAATATTTTCATTGTTTCTAACAAAAAGATAACTGGGCTACTGTCCCCTTTACCCAAAAAAATCTATTATGAGCCAAAAAAAAGCACCAAATGAAGTTAGAGGCAAATCATGCGTGAAATTCAACAAATAACTAGAAACAAACAAAGAAGAAATGATGTATACAAATTCGAGAAGGTAAGAGAGAAAATCTTGGCATGAAAATCATAATAAAAGGCACTAAGAATGAAAACCAAATATTAATTCAAATGGATAAGGTGAAAGAAATGTAATGAAGTTATTTTGATAGATTTTCCAGCAGAGATAGTGAGACTCACTCATTGACGCTATCTGAATGGTTTTTTTAACATCTAGAAATTTGAAAGTAGTCAAGGCTTGAACACCTAATATTATGTACATCAAATATAGAAACCCTTTGAGAGAAAGCCACAAGGTATCCTATGTTGCTTAATGTTATATATTTGGTCAAAGATGAGTGGTATTATCTTAGTCCAATCAATGAGAACCTTAGTGAATTGAGTTAGATTCAGTAGCTCACAGTTGACATCGACTCCAGAATCGAGTCAAAACTTATGCTCAAGATGAGTCAAAATTTCCGTACCATTTTGCAAGAGAAAAAGAAAGGCAGAAGTAGTTGAACAAAGAATGTATCCATGAAGGCATGATAGAAGAATACCACAGATCAACATAATAGGAATGAACTTACATTTGATCCTTGCATGAAATCAATAGCTTCCTGTAAATACACATGACAACTTTTGCACCTCGAAAGTTACGATTTCTTAATTCCTTGTAACAGCGTTCCTCAAGGGTGGTTGTGATCTGAAGGTAAGATTGGAGATTAATAAAGGAAATTATGGAAAATTATATTACTTCCACATACATTTGGTTAACATAAGAAACAAACATGTTGGTTCTTATCTGATACAAATGGGACTAGATGTCCTATACATATGAAGTCAAGCAAGTTATAACTTGTCATTAACTTTTGATGAAGTTTCTTTGAATTAATATGCTCCTAATAATGTTCTTTATTTCTTTTATTGGTGAAATTTTTTATCCTGTAGGTGGGATGTGTGTTTTGCCACAAACAATTTTGACCATGTCGTTACCACTATAATTATTAGCACAAAAAATGCATCATTTTATAAATTACTAAAAATGTACCTTTGGGATCCGTAAAGGGTTTCGCACAGCATATTCGCAGAGTTTTCCGATCTTCCGGTCATTTGGTTCTTCATCCTTTTTTTTAAAATCCAACATAGAACATGTTACATAAGCACGATGATATAACATACATTACATGAGTAATTAGGATTTACAAACGTATTCTGTTGTAACATGTCATGCTCACTCAAAGAAAACCTTCAAAATGTTCTTATGATGAGGTCAAGCTCTCAGATCTGAAAGGTTATCTTGTTGAAAGTAGTCTTTGTACGATGAGATCAGTAAAAACTGAAGTAACATAAAAACTATGTTCTAGGACTATTCAAAGAAAATAATTATTATATTTTTTCAAAGCAAGATTCAATGAACAGTAAAAAAATCTAGTAATGGCTTGATGTTTCCACAGGCCACATGGATATTGATATTTTCTATGCTAAAAGAATGAGTTTTAGGTATGTTGTCATGCTTATAATATTGCTATCATCATTGAACCAGGAGTTCTCAATTTGTGCACCATGAAAGCTGAAGAGAGCGAGAGACCAATAAGTTAGGCTCCTCGATGCGCTTGTATCTTCTAAGATAATTCATGAGGACCAAAATAAGGATCAATAATACAACCATGATTGTCAATCACTGATTCATCATGCAATTCAACTCGTTGATTTTATGGCTAATCACCCATTGCCATGTCTTCCTCTGGGATATCATATACAGAGGGAAAACTAGGCAATTAAGCTGCTTTATTTGGTTATCACTGCTGAAACAAAGCGTTGATCTGAAAAAACCTTACAATGCTGACGGTATTGTTAATCTCAAATGTCCATCAGTTGTGTCAAAGATAATGTTAACCTCAGGATCCAGTGGAATGTTAAAGCTCTACAAATAATTAGAATCAAATAAATACTAATTTGCTGCGTATTTATCCTTATCTAGGTACAAAGACCTTTTTTTTGGAAATCATCACATTAGTTTCAACCTATAAACTAGAAATTCAGAAACAAAGATCTTCTAGATGATATAAGAAAACCATCAAATTTTGTGCCACATTTCAATCACATTATAGAATCAAGAATGCAATCATGACAACAAACACATATAAATATGTAAAAAGTTTAGAGGACACTGACCGGATGAGTAGGGAATATATCCGAGATCAACTTCTTGTACCTCTTCACAGGCTGCCTAGACCTTGTTCTCAATCCAGGGCAGAAGCAACAAAGACTGCCACATGCTGGCAAAACTCGCCTTGATATTACCCCGGAAACAACACTCATTTCTGGTGTTTAGATAAAAACAAAGATAATAATGTATTACCGTTAAGGTAATGATTTCCTACCCACTTTCTTCTTTGAGCTTCCTTCCCTTCTAACCCACAAATTTCTTAATGAATCAAGAAGGGAAGAAAAGCTTATCAACCAAAAGATGGGTACGTCTTCAAATGCCCCACCAGCCTGTAAGAAAACAGATAAAAGATCTGAATCAACAATCAAAGTACCATCAACCCATCACATCAATAACAAGAAATTACATAAAATCATTTAATATCAATTAAGCCATTTCATCAAACAATGGGTCTGCATGGATGTTCTTCATAATAAATTTAAATCCCATCGTAATTACAAATCCAATCACATCATATTGATGATACAATCATATATAAATTAACGTCAAAAGATTTGTTTTCACCTTCAAGTCGACGCCTATACGACAGGGGCGAGAAGGCTGGTTAAGAACGTTAAAGAACTTTAACAATGTACCAAATCTCCAAAAATTGCTCCACCATTCCTCTTATGCATCTCTCCCTCTCCCTCTCCCTCAAACCATTCCCCATTTCTCTCTCTCTCTCTCTTTTCTCTCTCTTCTTTTTTTGGATAATTTACCCAAAATTCAACTGTATTTTGTGAATAATAGCTTTCGACCGTTAGATGTCTTGAACCGTTTGAGTCGTGGGAATTGGGGGAGTATCTCTTTCAATTATAAATTTTTAGAGTAAATTACACTTTTGGTCCTTATAGTTATCAACCACTATCAACTTTCATCCCTCTTTTAAATTAATTACAGTTTCAATCACTGTGGATGCTATTTTGCTTTACTTTTGGTCCCTCAGAAAACTAATTAGAGTTTTCATCACTGTGGATGCCATTTACTTCATTTTTGATCCCTCAGACTAACTTCTGTAAATAGGTCTGTTAACTCAGGGGTATTTCCGTGTTTTGGTATTCTTTGATTTCAGTTATGATAATATAAATACATTTTTATTATGCTATATTAATATAATAAACACATCTTCTTCAACCCTATTCTTCACCGTCAATTCTTCTTAACCCTCTTCTTCACCGTCAGTTCTTCTTATCCATCGGATACGTCATCAAAGTTATCAAAATAAACCCAGATCCAAAAAGTGAACTACTAAACAAGTCAAATTAGTGCAGATCAAAAAGCCCAAACCAATATTGGTCTATAAATTGGAACAAATGTTAAACAAATTCAAACCCCAAATTATGTTCCTATGGTTAGTTGTTCCAACCTAGATGTAACAAAAATTGAAGCTTTGACCTGCTTTACATTGACGCTACAGAGAGAGAGGTGAGAAGAGAAGGGGGAAGAGGAAGAGGAGGTTGTCGGTGTATATATCGAAGCTGAAACCCCTCAAAAAAACCTCTTGCCACGGAAGAGACAATCAGACCTTGATTGGAACAAAAATCCCCTACTCGATAAAAACCGTCGAATCTTGATTGGAATCCAATTGCCCAAATGAAACATACTGGAGACTTTGCAGGTGGTGGTTGTCTTAGATCGATGGTTTATGGTGGTCGTCGCTCCCCCAAACCTGGGAGTCACAGGTCGATGAAGATATGTTTATTATATTAGTAATATATAATAATAATAAAATATATTTATCTAATTATAACTAAAAATTACAGAAATAATAAAAATACAAAAATACCCCCTAAGTTAACAGGCCTATTTAACTGAAGTTAGTTTGAGGGACCAAAAATGAAGCAAAATGCAACCATAGTGACTAAAACTATAATTAACTTAAAAGAGAGAGGATAGTTAATGGTAGATGTCATATTTTAGGAACCTTCATTTCCATCATGTCGGCAACCAACTCTCCCCTTCCCTGATCGACATTTGTCTCTTGCCATGAACCATTGCCACGTGTATCCATTGTCTCTGTGTCTATTTGCACCTTGTGGTCTAACCACGAAGAAATAGAAGAAACAATTATCTAAATCAAGTTCCAACGATTCAAAAGATCGATTGGTTAGAGTTCACATTGTGGATTTAGTCACAACTTAACATATCATAAATATAGTCACAACTATGATCAATGTGAACATGTATAGCATCCTTGCATAGTCATCGATAACATTTTTTTAAACCACTGTAGTGTCAAAGCGTTTCTTGCATTTTAGATAATAGTACAAGAAAAATCATCTGCACACCAACACTCCACGATAAGCTCTGAAGGCTAGAAAAACCCAAACCGCACAACTGAATTAACCGAGTTAACATAGGTGTTAAACTCACAAAACTATCATACCAATTACTTTCCACAAACGTTCTTATCAAAATTCATAAACAACACCCCCAAACTAGACCTCCACGATAATTGAAAAAGTCGAATATGTATGAAACAGTTGCCTACACAACGTGGTTCCACACGACATGATGCGACTAATGTTATGATTGGGATCGCATGAGCCTCTATCTGGGTCGTTGTTCTATGCAACTCACAACCAACCATGAATCTAATTACTCAAATACTTCACAACAAAACTTAGTCCAAAATTAAAAAGTTAAAACCAATTTGGTTATTCCTGTAACCTGTTCGACGAAATGACACATAGAAGTTTGTCTTTTATTGGGTCAAGATCTTTTTGTTGTATGGTCAATCGGGTTTGTCCATGGTCTTTGGTATAGGTAACTGTAACGAAACATATTTGTTAACGAAAAGGATTACAATTATAAGAGTACATTACTACTTGCACATTTAAACCGAAACATTATATTGGCGGTATACAATCATTCTGGCATTTGCAGCATAAACTTCATCTACAAATCTCCCACATTCTCTCATTCGGCTTCAAATTCAGATAACATCTCTCCATACTTGTTTTTGAAGGTATGGTTGAAATCCTGACCATACAAAACAGATACCCATTTATCGTTCAATGAAAGTTTCTTCAAACCAAAACTATCAAAGCATGGAAACGTAACGGGAGACTAGTGATGCTTAACGTAATCAACCACTTGCATTATGTGATTTAAAATAAACATACCCCGATTGACATAGAAAGAGCATAAACATAAAATCCAAGATTACCGGAGATTGCAGTTGTTGTCGATTTATGTTTTCAGTTTGGTAGTGCTTAATGCACTTCAAAACTGTGCGTACTCATCTGGATTACGTACTTGTTCCTTCACCGTCTTACAGAGATGAATACCTGCCAACAACTTGAATGTAAGGATCATAAACAATACTGACCATCAAAGCATTCTGAAGTATTTTTCTTACACCTACTCACGTATCTGTTAAACTCACAGAAATAGCTTACTGAAATGTGCTGAATGCTTACAGCATTACTGACAAGTCTTTCTTGTTAATGATATGTAAGTTTGTATGAAAATAGGTTGTTGTCGAATGTATGACATAATAATAATGATATATATATATATATATATATATATATATATATATAGGAGCATATTCAAGGGAGAACTGAATTGTTTGTGGTAACTGTGAGAACCAATATTAACCACAAATCAATATATAAATTAGGAAATTTATAAATTTGGTAATTTTAAATTAAAATCTTAATGCAAGGATATTTTTGGTATTTTAAAACTCTCCTCTCTCCTCTCTCCGGCCACCGTTCTCCGGCCACCGTCCTCCGGTGATACCACTATGATACTACTGTGATACTTAAAAATATTGACTCTGTTAAACAAAAGATACATTGTGATACCTAATCATATATAAGATGCATAGTGATACCACAGTGTTACATCTTCGATCGACCACACAAACGACATCAAAGTGATACCCAAGCACATATATGATGCATTGTGATACCATTGTAGTATCACCGGAGGACGGTGGCCGGAGGACGGTGGCCGGAGGACGGTGGCCGGAGGACTGTGGCCGGAGAGAGAAGAGAGGAGGGAGGAAAGTTGTAAAATACCAAAAATATCCTTGCATTAAAAGTTTAATTCAAAATTGCCAAAATTATAAATTTCCTAATTTATCTATTGATTTGTGGTTAATATTGATTTTCGCAGTTACCACAAACTAATTACTTCTCATTTGATTAGGCAAGAATTGAGGATATTTCAGTCTTCTTCTTTTGAATTAAAAGACACATGATGGAAGAAGATCCAAGGACTTTGATAAGGACTTTGATAAGAACTTATTAAAATATAAATATATCTTCTCTTTATCTATTTTATAATTACGATTGATAAGATGTATTCATATGTGAATACACTTGTGTAACATTATAATTACCCATTTGATCCAATTCTGAATACGTAGTTAAAAAGCCAAAAAAGTCAACTCAAATGAATTAAATAAAATCCTCGTTTTTATAGGCAAAATTGTATCAAAATGAAATAAATTTTTCTTTGATTTCTATTGTGCAGGACCAACTTTTAAAATCGTTATTTAAGGGTCCGGACCAAAGTTTGTGTTTATCCATGTAATAAAAATTTAAGTTGGTAAAGACCCGCCCCTCGTTTCAGTCAGAATGAGTCCCCGGGATGCTTCGAGCAAAACTTATTCCCGGGGTGTGACGGGTGGTCTTCAAGCTTTCACTTGTATTTTCATAGAGTAAGTTCATTCTTACCAACTTAACTAATTCAATTCTTTCTATTGGGAAGCCTCACCCTCCTTCCCTAGGTCGAACAAATCGGAGTGCGGTGTACTCCGATCTATAATATGCTGCATCATATTAAATTACCGGCAACAGGTCCCTTAAATAAACAAAAACTCTTGTCCAGACCCTTAAATGAATATTTTAAAAGTTGGTTACTCAACATAAATAATATTTGGGCAAATTGGGTGAAAAAGTAACGTACTTTAACTTGATTCCTGTTTTACGTAACGTACTTTCAAAACTTCCATTTTGGTACCTAAGATACCACATCACTCGCCAAATCAACATGGTAACCGATTAATGTTTCAACCAGTTACCCGGGTACTTAAATGTTTAAAACTTTACATCTCAAGTACCAAAATGAAAGTTTTGAAAGTACGTTACCCAAAATATCTTATGAAAACTGTTTCTAAATAATTTAGAGATGTTAATTTAGTTATCATGAACAATCTGAAGAGTTACCTTCATGTGGATTCCGTCCCACTAGAAATGCTATGAACATTGACGACAAGAAGTTCTCGATCTTGATAAGTAATCTAAAATCACATTGAAAAATAAAGAATAAAAACGTAAATATAAAATAGACACCATTGCAAAATAAAATAAAAAACAGGAGAGAAAAGGTTGTTACTTGCCTTGCATGACGAGCCGCCACATTGAAAACGTGTAAACGTTTATCCTTCATGAGTGAAAAACGAGGGAAATGAACAATATTGTTCATTAATATTAAAAATACTCACGTTTTGGAAACTGAAGGCATGAAATAAACATATTTAATAAGCCAGATCCCCGTACAGTAAATTATAACGCGCTCGATGTGGGACAAAATCTTACTAACCTTCACACATAGAGAGAGGGAGGGAGGGAAATGAAAGTTCAGTCGCAAACCTCTTTTTGTTTTCGGTTGTGAACTGGGGACAAAGGAGAGAGTGACACGTGTCCC